GTCTCTGTGAGCAGAAGCACAGACAGAACAAACCAGCAGGAGGCAGTACTGTCATCTTTCTCCTTTTATTCTAAACACAGAATAAGCACATACACAAGCAAGGCCATATCGCCAAGTGTCTCCCCTACACATCTCTCTCCATGACGGTGACAGCCACACTTTTTATAACAAGGCAGTAAATGAACCAAACCCACCCGAACTAACTTGAACATAAACACACATAACATTGCTAACGCAAAAACCCAACCATCTTGCTTAATTAACACATAAATCAACTCTAAACAAATACCCATAATGCACCTGGCTGCTAGCGCTCACTGCCGGGTCATTACAATATCTTACATTTTCATATCTTTCTTTTTCGCAGAGCCCTCAGAAGTGAAAGACAGGTTTTAACTACCGTATTGGCCCGAATATAAGACGACCCTGATTGTAAGACGACCGTCTTATATTCGGGACAATACGGTATATGCAGAAATATATTTATTTTATTTTAGATTTTATTTTATTTTTTAAATTTTATTTTATTTTATTTTTTAGTTTAGTTTAGTTTAGTTTTTTTTTATATTAACTTTTTGCTATCTGTTGATATTTATGTATTTATTTTACTTTTTACATTATTTTCTTGGTTTTTGTTTTTCATATCTTATATTTTCATATCTTTCTTTTTCGCAGAGCCCTCAGAAGTGAACAACAGGTTTTATCTATATGCCACGATCTATTTATTTATTTATTTTTCTTTTGTTAACTTTTGGTTTAGACTTTTTATATACTTTTTTTACTTTGCATGTTATTTTATTATTTATTTTTTGTTTTGTTTTTTGTATTATTTTTGTAATCTGTTAGTGGTTATGTATTTTTGTTTATTTGACTTTTTACATAATTTTTCAAAATTTTTTTCAAATATTTTCATCTCTTTGTTTTTCACAGAGCCCTCAGAAGTGAAAGACAGATTTTAATTATTTGCCACCATATCCTCTCAATGTTTTTTTTTTATTTTTGTATGTATTTATTTATTTATGGGTTTTTTTCTGTTAGTTACCATATCTTTTGGTTCAGAAAAAGGCTGTTTTCTTTGTAAAGGGTTTGTTTGGGGTTGTGTGTGCCATGTTTACTTTTTACTATCTGTCTATCGGAAAGGCCTTTTTTCCTCTTGGTATAGAGTTTTACAGACTTTTTGTTTTCTCTTTAAAGTAGAAGACAGAATGATATCAGTGTAGCACCAGTGACTCAGATCGAAAGAGCCCTCAGAAGTGAAAGACAGATTTTAATTATTTGCCAGCGTATCCCCTCAACCGGACGTGAGCGTCACGTCAGCCGCACAAAGCAAAATAAATATGCGTTGACCTTAGCGGGTGCCATCCCTCTCAGACAAAGCATTAAGTATTGTTGACAGTTTGACGTTTAATCTGCTCGGAGGACAAATGAAAGATTAAAGGAAGTTATGGGATGGAGACGCCTCGTGCATAAAGACGGTGAAATGGCTGCGGACAAAATATGCTTGGATGCTTGGATGCTCTTCGTGTGGGAAATATGGGACCACCTCGGTCTAAATTCCCCTGCGGTTAAGGCTGCAAGTGTAATGCCTGCCTCTATTCGTCACAACCTCTTTAGCACTGAACGTCAGCGGCCGCTCGACAAATATCCCATCATCCAGACTCCAGAGTGGCTACAGAGCATCGCTCTGCTTGATGGAGGTCACCGCAGGTTCACAAAACTGCAATAGGTCTGATCTGTCTTGATGTGTGCCCAGCTGTAATTTCGCAATGATTAGGTGCATGGCGGCGAGGTGCCAACTTTAGCGGCGACGCCACTTCATCTGTTGACTCGATAAAGCCGCTGACATTCGTGACAGAGTTGAATGACATGCGTAGAAGCCTTGTGAAGGAATGTCACAATCCCAGCAGGATTGACTGCAGGGAGCTGTAGGAAACAATGCGCTGTTATGCCTGTCATGCAAACGATAATTATGTTCTGATGCTAATTCCTCTAGGGACCACGATTCCACCCCTGCTGAACACCACGTCCAACACCCTGTTCCTCACCTTTCAGACTGACATGAGCGTTTTTGGAGCTGGTTTTCACCTGGAATATACAGGTATGATGACTGTTCACCTTTGCAGTGAGAACGCAAAGCACGGTTTCCTATGGAAGCTTAATATAAAAATGAAAAAAAAGATAAATGTGACTTTATTTAACAATTCTAATAGTTTTATTTCAATCCTGAGTTTATCTCACAATTCTGATTTTTTTTTTCCTAGCAATTCAGAATTTTTTCTGAGAACAAATCCCAAATTGTGAGGGGGAAAAAAAATCAGAATTGTGAGATATTAACTCATAAGCGCAGAATTATGAGATATAAACTTTTAATTTTGAGAAAAAAATCAGATCAAAGTCATATATAATGTGAGATATGAACTAATACTTACAAGAAAAAAAATAATCTGAATTGCGAGAGATAAGTTTTATTTTTATTGTGAGTTTATATCACACAATTCTGAGTTTATGTTAGCAATTCTGATTTTTTTTTCTCAGAATTGTGGGAAAAAAGTCTGAATTATAGTCTGAGATATAAATTTGCAATTGCAAGAAAAAGGTCAGAATTGTGAGATAAAAAGTTGCAATTACCTTTTTTATTAATTTTTCTTTTTCAGAAAACAATTCTGTGTAAAATAAAATTAATATAATTATCACAAAATCTTTTTTTAAATTCTAAAGTACAGTTGTATTATTACAATAGTATATTTATCTCATAATGTTTTATAATTAGATCAAATATTAAAACAATTGTATAATTGTTATTATTAATATCACTGAGTTGGTGTCTGGATATTTCAGCAGCAGCATTAGACATTTTCTTATGAGATGAAATGTTTACCATTATATCGCAGTTCAAATTGCAATCACAATATATACACCAAAATAATCACAATATATATTTCTGACTGGCCTAAACTGTTAATGAGGCATTTAATAAAATAATTAAAATCAAACACTTCTAAAAGTAGTCTTTAATTTATACAAATGCAAACGTAAACATTATGTATTTTATTTGTTTTCCTGCATGTCATTTGACCATTAACCAACAAATGAGAACTGTAAACCTGTGAACGTGGTTTTAAATATTAACTTAAAATCTGAGGGTGTACTTCAAGAAAATATTTTGTCAAAGAACGTTTGGGAGCCCAGCCACAGGCGGCCACAAATGAATTGAATTTAACCGCAACATGAATCATGCAACATTTGTTATGACTCTCTCGCGGGGCTCCTTTGCATCTCGCAGTGTAAACGCAAATCAGTTTCCATTTGTGTTGGGGAACAGTCACATTCTGACAAATAAAGAGAGTTTCCTGTGTCCTAAGCAATAGGTTTGGACTCCTGCCCAGAACCTCAAACCCCCAGCAACGGCGTGAAAGTGGGCGACCGCTACTTCGTGGGTGATGTTGTCTCGTTCCACTGTGAACAAGGATACACTCTAAAGGTGGGCGATTTCATATCATAATATGGCAGTGATAACTTAGCGCTGTCAGCTTCAAATGCTCAGAGACATTTGCACTCGTTCTAAAAAGCTTTTTGGCTGCTCATTTTGGCATTTCGCCATTGTTGCGTGCGTAATTGGCAGTGCGTTAAACAGGTGACTTATTTTCAGAACATCTTTCAGAAGAGTGACATGCAATCAAATGGCATTTGTTCAATTACAAGCACTTGTATGTCCCAGGGGTTGATTTTTAGTTGAACTTTTTGTTTTTCTTTTTGAAGGGTGCATTAAAATGTCTTTTTTCCTATGACTTTTGTTTATTTTTGCTACTTTCGAAATGCTTTTTGTGTGTAGATGTTATTGTTTTTACTCTTGTACCACACCCAGACTTTTGATCTTAAAATATCAAAATGTAAAATAGCAAAAAGCATCATAAAATATTAATTGAGATTTTTTTTTTATTAAAAAATTTAATCTAAACAATTCAGCATTTCAGTATTTTTTTTTTGTTTGTTTGTTTGTTTATGTGAAAATGATTCAGCTCTCTGTTAGTTCTCTCCCTTGTTTTTCCTAAATTTAACTAAAGGTTAACTGTCATTGAAAAGCTTGAGATACAATATGATGCATGTGATGTGTGGAAAGGAAACAGGTGCATTTGTGATACATTTTTTCTGTCATTTCCATTCTGTAATTTTGTGTGAAAACATTATTTGTCTGTTTTAGGGTGCATGTGCTTAGCATGTTCAAAATGAAATTATGCATTTTTTTGGAATGCATGAAGTACTAGCTATGAAATTAGCTTTCGCATGTTCAAAATGTCATTTTTGTAGCTACTTTTTGTCAAATTATGCAAGAAGTGTGAACGTGAATAATATTTAGTTGAGTGTATGTAGAATGCATGAAATGCTAGCTATGAAATTAGCATATTCAAAATGTATTTTTTGTTGCTGCTTTTTGTAAAATTATGCAAAAAAAGTGAAAAAGTATTATTTAGTTTAGTGTATTTGTAATGCATGAAACAATAGCTATGAAATTAGCCTTAGCATGTTCAAAATGTCAGCTGTTATTTTGTAATATGATCCAAAAACTGTGAAAAACATTTAGTTGTGTGTATTTAGAATGCATGAAATGCTAGCAATGTGTAGCAATTTGTATAGCTGTAATTTTCAAAATTTGCAATTTGCAAAAAGCGTATATATACTGTATATTAGCACGTCCAAAATGTTATTTTTCTAGCTGTTGTTTTGTAAAATGATGCAAAAAATATTCAAATATTATTTAGTTGTGTGTGCATTTAGAATGCATGAAACAATAGCTCTTCAATCTTAAGTCTTATCATTTACACAGTGTAATTTCTGTTTTGAATAATAATGCAAAGTGTATGAAAATATTATTTCATTGTGTATATTTAGAATGCATGAAATGCATGCTATATGACATTAGCTGCAGCGTGTTTAAAATGTCACTTACAAAACAAAAATGAGATGTCTGATAATGCATGTATACTGACGTTAATAGACAAACTAGTGAAAGTTTGTTTAAAAAAAAAAAAAAGAAAGAAAGAAGAAAAGTACAAAGGTGCCCATAGCTGAAGAAGCACCTTAAAGTTCAGCGTTTGATTTTCTGCTCCTCTGTGCGTTTTATTAGATTCATTCACAGTGCCAAGGCTTTGTTATTTTTGAAGAGCACGTTGAATGATACATTTCCTACGAGTGATTCATCTTCCTTCGGAATTGGTGAGAGCTTCTTGGAAAAGTCAATATCTTTCTTCATTTCCACTCGTTGCAGGGAAGTGCATATATAACCTGCATGCCGGGGCCTGTCAGAAGATGGAACTACCCAGCGCCCCTCTGTCTGGGTATGTTTTATTTGCAGTCATTTCTCCCCGTTTGGCCTTTTCAGTGAGAGCATTACCACTGCTTTACTTCTCCGTAATCGCAATTCTTCAAATTAGTGTCTCGCAACAACCTTATGTTCCTGTTAGTTGAGGAGTTTGTGCCGTTTCGTCTTATTTGATTTCAATGTAGCAGCTGTTTCATCACCGAGCGCAGAGAGATCAGCCGTGGTCCGTTAGAGCTCTATTTAATCAAATGGACTATGAAAAAGCTGTCTTCAGGCTAGATCTTTGAGGTCCTATTCAGTCTAATCTTCTTTTTTCATTTTCTCTTTTGTTGAAATCTATTAGCCCCTTCCATGTCTCATGATTTCTCGCGGCTATAACACCATCGCTCACGAGTTACTGGCCATCTAGCTAATGCTGTTCATCCAGAGTGACTTACAGTCCGCTAATAGCAGTGACAGACGCTGCAGGACCTCAGGTTAAGCGGCCTGCGCGACAATGCAAAACGGCATAATGGAAGTTTACTTCTAATAGATGTTCTCTGACTAGATATGGCTGTAAAAGTATGCAAATGTAGGTATATCTTTAACTTCAGTATCATTAAAACATTAACCCCCGGTTCACAGACAAGGCTTAAGCCTAATCCTAGACTAAAATGTAAGTCTGAGCTGTTTCAACTGAAAGAAACTTGCACTGACTGATCTTAAAATATATCAGTGCCTTTGTTTTATCTCAAGATGTACACCAGTAATGTTTTTTTTAATAAGTACGTTCATAAAAATTACTTGTATGTCCTAATTGAACTATGGCTTAACCCTGGCTTAGTCTAAGCCCTGTTTGTGAAACCGGGCCTAAAACAGACATAAAAAGTGATTTTAATATTGCTGTTCAGTACTATAAAGGTCATTATTTAATGGACCTGAGCTAACATGAACTAACAATTAATAGTTGTATTTTTATAAGCTAATGTTAACACAGATTCATGAATAGTTACTGATAACTTTAACTATTACTTTGAAAATGTGAATCTGTTGATTATACGTTGTTGTTGGGCTCTATTTTGAAGATTTTAGGGTCATTTAAAGGGGTTATTCCACGGAAGGGTCAACCATTGGTTAAAATTGTGTTTTTTAGCAAACCACTTGTAAATTATTAACATTTTTACTGTATTGAAGAGAAATCTTAGAAGTTACAATTCACATTTTCACTGCTAATGTAATGCTGGAATTGCTCTAGGATTCTGGGGGATTTTTTATCATTTCATATGCAAATGATAAAAAATATAATTTGCATATCAACTGAAATTTCTACAGTATAGCTGCAAATTCTGACATTCATTATTTATATCATCTAATGTTTTTGCATATATTTTGAGTTTATTATTACATGCATGAACAATACATTTATTTGTTAATTAAAAAAATTAATTCCATTTTAATTTCATTTTAATTTCATTAATTTCAAAATTAAAATTTCATTCCATTTTAATTCTACTTCCCTAAATTTAGGAATTGAATTACGATTTAAAAGATAAGCTCAGTTGAATTTACAATCTTAAATTTGTTCCATTTCATTTTATTTGATTTCCGTGTAGCAGCGGTTTCGTAACAACCATGGAATATTAAAGCAATAAACCCCAAGAAGCCATGGTTTACAGTGAATTTATAACAGCTAAGGGGCGTTGTTAGGCACGAAGTGAAGTTGAGTGCCTAAAACCCTCTTAGCTGTTATAAATTCACTGTAAACCACGGCTTCACGGGGCTTATTGCTTTTATAAAACGGTTATTCCATATACGTAGTAAGGTTTCACAGAATAACACCGAGCAAATAAAGTGCAATGATATTAATAAAAACAGTATTCTTCCACCAAACAATGTAGTTCCTCAGAAACAGTTGTGGTTCCAACAAAGTGGTTGGAACAGTTGTGGTTCCAACAACACACAAACGTAAACAAAGGTGTATGTTACTTTGTAGAGTCATTTACAACAGCTTCGAACGCAGCTCAGCCAATCAGAATCAAGCACCGGAACTATCCGGTTTATA